TAAAGGCAGGAAGGTGGAGAACATTCTTTTTGATCATAGTCAGCAGTGGTTGCTGTTCAGATACTAGATTTGGACAGTCTTTCCTGGCTGCTAGTTCCATCTCTGTCCCTCACCACTGGGCAACATGGGGAAATGACTTAACTTGTTTAAGCCCCAGTAACCCCATCTGTAAACTGAGGATACTACCACCTAGCTTATCTAGTTCTAAGGATTAAATGGGATATGCATGCTAAGTGCCAAGTGCAATTTCTAGAGCATAACACAGTAAGTCCTCAAAGTTATTGGTAGCTTCTGGGAAACTGGGTCTTAACCTTAAGCTAATTGATATAAATGAGTTCAGTTCCCACAACATGTTTCTGGTCACAAAACATAACCGAACCTTTTTTTTTTTTTTGTACCCTAGTTCTGTATGCACAAATAAATAAATCTTTAAAAAAAAAATCCCTGCTGTGGCCCTCCAAAGCCCGAACCCTACTTCCACACTGGATCCTCCCAGCCTTGGGGCTGGCATTGCAATAACACTTGCTGCCTGCCCACGTCCCGCACTCTGTGCCTTTGTATCTTGCATCTCTCACACCACTTGCCAGTTCTCAGCCGTGGCTGCGTGCTGGAGTCTCCTGGAGAACTTAATCAGAACAAGCTATGCCTGTGGGCCACTTTCAGAAATTCTGGTTTTAATGATCTGGGGCATTGAGACTTCCTAAACTTTGCAGGGCGACGCTAATGTGACACAGTGCTCCTCCTGAGCCCTTGGGGAACCTTATGTCCTTTCCATCTCTTTCTTCCTTATGCACTTTAAAAAAAAACCAATTTTACGAGCATGGGTAAACTGTATATATTTAAAGTATAAATTTGTGTACACTTGTGAAACATCACCACAATCCAGATAATGAAGACGCCAACACCCCGAACAGTTTCCTTGTGATCCTTTCTAGGTGGTTCTCTCTTCCCCTCCTTATCTGCCATCTCTCACCCCAGCCCTCCAGGCAACCACTGACCTGCTTAGTCATTACAGATTTCATTTCTCTAGATTGTTGGTATCAATGAAATAATATGTAATATGACTAACATAGTTAATAATACATACTATAACATGTACCTTTTTAAACGTCTACTTTAGCAAAATTATGTTGAGTCACGTATCCTGTTGAATGTATCAACAATTATTCCCTTTTTATTATTCAGTAATATCCCTTTATATGTATATATTATACCTTGTTGCTTATACATTCATCTGTTGATAGTCTTTCTGGGTAGTTTCCTGGTTTCTGCTATTCCAATAAAGCTGTTATGAACATTCATATAAAAGTTATTGTGCGCATACTTGTCTTTATTGTGATTGAATAAACACTCAGGAGTGGAATGGCTGGGATACAACTTTAAAGAGAGTGATTTAGTTCTTCTAGGTCTTCTGCACTCCCCTATAGTTGACTTCTCAGATGCTTCAACATTCTGAGATTTTGATCAGAATTGCATTGAAATTGTAGATCTATTTGGGGGGAATTGATAGCTTAACAATAATGTGCGTTTGAGTCTATGAGCGCATGTGTTCTTCCTATGTGCTGCACCGTATGGCAACTTCAGGGTGCCGCTAAGCTGTGCATCTCTCTTAGCTTCTACATTCTCTACGTAATCTACCTCCTAAATCCCTCTTATCTTCCCCACGCAGCATTCACCTTTACCCTGTATTACTCTGCTTTTGCCTCAATTAGGAAATCTGCTGAGAACTCCAACTCTGCCTTCAATGCTCTCATCTACATTTCATTTGATAGGATACCTTTGCCCTGCTGCCAGTCAGTGTCAGAAACTAGCAGGTACCTGTGGTCAGACTTCACAAGTAAAATGAATGTTCAAGGTCAGGATAAAAGAGAAATTAAGAGAGCTGTTGTTTTCAGTTTGGGAGTGGGGAGAGGAGATTGGAGGGAATAGAACCCTTGAGTCCACAGCCTGGGGAGTGAAGAGGGTGTGGTTATGTAGTGACAGGTATACTGTAGTGCTGAATTGTCTTTGGTTCCTGAGTTATCAGGAAAGTGAAGTTCTCTCTGGTTTCTTAGCATCTCCTCCAACCCTTCCACTAAGAAATTCCTGAGTAAAGATAGTATGCAGGGTCAAAGAGATCAAGAAATCAAGAGATCAAGAGAAAACTTGGGAAATGGCTTTTGTCATTGCACCTAGTCACAGGAGTAGAGATGGGGCAGGTGTCAGGGAGTCAGATCTGCTTCCTGATTGGGAGGAGTCCACAAGGTGGAGTCAGAAGGAGATTCAAAGGAAGTGAGAAGGGGAAGAATTGTAGGCATCCTGGGAGCCAAGGAAGTGAGCAGTCAACCTTTCTTGTACCTCTGAGTCTGTTCTTGAAAGGCAGGCCTCCTGGAATTGGAAAAAAGAGATCGTGGTCACTGACCTGTACAAGGGCTTTGGGAGTGGTTGCAGGGAAGCCAGGGGGCAGGGCACAGGGGAAATGAGCAAGTTGAAGTAGCTAGCAGATGGCTCTTTGGGCAAACTTGGTTGGATGGTACAGAGAGGTAACAGCCATTCATTTAAAAAAAAGATTTACTTATTTATGCACATAGAACTGGGGTACAGGCCACAGGTGCAGGGGTGGTGAGAGGATTCACCAGAGACAGAATGAGGAGCAGAACAGACAGATGGACAAAGTGCACGGCTGAGGGGCGCAGCGGGGAGACAGGAGAGGTCTGTTGCGCCATGTGGGTCAGCTCCCTGTCCCAGGATCGAACTCATGCTGAAGCAGCTGCGGCTAGCTTCACAGTGTTGTGCTTTAACCCGTTGTGACACCAGGGAGGGCCCTAAAGGCCATTCTTAATGAATTGTAATCTCCTTGAAGACAGGAACTATTAATTTGTGTCCCCTTAACATTTAGCACAGAGCTGCTCTGCCACATGAGAGATTAGAAAAACATTTATTGAAGGAACACCTAAACAATTAAATACAGAGCCATAAAGGCAGGAAGGTGGAGAACATTCTTTTTGATCATAGTCAGCAGTGGTTGCTGTTCAGATACTAGATTTGGACAGTCTTTCCTGGCTGCTAGTTCCATCTCTGTCCCTCACCACTGGGCAACATGGGGAAATGACTTAACTTGTTTAAGCCCCAGTAACCCCATCTGTAAACTGAGGATACTACCACCTAGCTTATCTAGTTCTAAGGATTAAATGGGATATGCATGCTAAGTGCCAAGTGCAATTTCTAGAGCATAACACAGTAAGTCCTCAAAGTTATTGGTAGCTTCTGGGAAACTGGGTCTTAACCTTAAGCTAATTGATATAAATGAGTTCAGTTCCCACAACATGTTTCTGGTCACAAAACATAACCGAACCTTTTTTTTTTTTTTAAAGATTTATTTATTATTCATACAGAACTGGAGTATAGGCAGAGGTGCAGGGGCAGTGAGAGGATTCACCAGAGACAGAGTGGGGAACAGAACAGGCAGATGGATGAAGTACCCTACTGAGGTGAGCAGCAGGCGGGTCAGGAGAGGTCTGCCACGCCATGTGGCTCATCTCCGGGCACGCGGGGATCGAACTCATGCAGAAGTGGCTTTAGCTTCTTAGTGCTGTGCTTCAACCCGCTGCGCCACCAGGGAGGGCCCCATAACCAAACTTCTAAATAAAGACCCCAACCACTCCTAATATTGTACAATATTTTGTACACAAGCATGCATTCATTCATCTCTAAAGTGTTTATTCCAGTTCAGGGTCCCCGGTGCTTATCCTGGCAGCTCAGGGTGCAAGGTGGGTACCAGGCCTGGACAGGAAAGCCTCACACCCACACACACTCACACCGGACAATTGAGACAAGCCAATGGGAGGTGGGAAGAAACCAAAGTACCCATAGAAAATCCACGCAGATATGGCAAGAATGTGCAAAGTCACATGGCCTGGCTCTGGCAGGGAACGGATTTCCTTTACCAGCACTCGAGTAAACCATGTTGAACAAAATGGCATTATCTGAGGCCCTGCTGTGCACTCAGTGTTGTTCTGTTTGCGACACCGACACCGAGCCCCACCTCCTCTGACTGGGCGCCCTCTACTTCTATACACCTGGGACAAACCCGCCACCTCTGGGCCCCCGCCCCTGGATCCAAAGCTAGTGCGGCCTAATAGCACCGAGGCTGGCACAAGCAGCGCTCCACAGGGACCCACAGGCAGCAGCGGCGGCCGCCAGCCCAGCCCAGCGCGGACCGAGTACAGTAGGCTGAGGGCCGCTCACCGCAAATAGCTTCTTCAGACGTGGCCAGACACAAAAATAGCTCTGTGGTCAGCAGGGGGGTTCCTGAGTGCAGAAAGGGGGAGAAGAGGACCTGCTGCCCTGAGACAGCAGGGCCCGGGCAGATGCTCACAGACTGCTCGGGCTTTCTCTGTGCTAGCTGAGCATGGGAGACTCCCACGCAGACCTCTGGCGGCTGCTGTGCTTCTCACCTCACTTGAGCTCAGCCCACATCCTGGCTGCTCGACCGCAATCTGCTTCTGGCTGCCGCTCTGGCACCTCCCTCCTGCTCCTCCCCCAGCCCTGCCTAGTGGTTCTTCCTGTTCAAGGCAGCTCATGGAAAGCCGCGTCCCATCCCCCGGCCCATTGCACCCCCGTCCTTCACACTCATGTTCTTCGTGGGCTTTTGGGACAGCCTGTTTCTATCCCGCCCATTTTCTGAGCTGCCACCCTCCATCAGGGAGCGTTCTCTATGCCCTTGGCGTCTTCCTCTAAGTCATTCTAACGAGTGTTCTCCCTCTCGCTCTCATTTTTCTCTTCTGTAACCCCCCTCCCCCCACCAGCTGTGGAAACAGGTGCACAAGTGCAGGAACGTGCACTTGGAATCATCGCTGGGCATTAACCAAAGGTAGGGGGACCTGAGTCATCGCAGGGATTCAGGCAGCCTCGCAGGATGGTCCAGAAAGGAGGGACGGCAGCTCTGTAGTCAAATACACTTTATTTCTTTTCTCTCTCAGATGACAAGGAGCCTAGCATATTCATGAAGTTGTCAAATACCCTCTGGGGGCGGGGGTGGGGGGCAGTGGAGACAGGGGTGGGGAGTCTCTGAATGGGGAAGGGGCAAAAGCTCTGTGACATTTACTTAGGTCATTCCCACAGAACTTGCCTAAGAGAGAACTGAAAAAAAAAAAAAAGACAAATGGAATAATTAAATGACAATTAAATGGAATAACTAGGGACGGGGACAGCTAATATGCAGGAAAAGGAAGGGACTAGAGGAAGAAGTATCCACCAGGGAAGGAGGTTAACTGGGGGAGCCAGCGAATAACCAGAATAAATATCCTGACAAAGGGACAGCCCAGCTGTGCGACCACGGGGAGCTGTGTTGTTTCAAAGGACGATGAAGCAGCAAAATCCTAGGACAAGGCGCCAGCAAAGAAGGCAGGACCCAGGCATGTGGGGCCCTAGAAGCAGGGGGACAGTTCTCCTGTGGGGTGCAAGACTCCCCCCAGGAACAGGGAGGAGCAGGTGCCTGGTAAGAGCCAGACCTGGGCCAGGGGACGCAGAGTCCTCAGGAGCTGTCAGACGCCTCTGTGGTTCAGGCCCGCGTACAGGTCCCTCTGGCCTTTCCGGATGGGCTAAGGGAGAGAGAGTGGGGGTGTCAGCAGGGTGGGAGGAAGTGGTTACTGTAAAGGAAGCGCTTCTGAAAACCTAGCTTTAGCGAAATGGAGGCAGGTTGGACTTTTCACTTGGCCCTGACTGAGCCAGCCCCTTTTTCTATGAGCCTCAACTTTCCCATCTCAAACACAGCCATCTGAAGACCCACCTCTAAGGGCATCTGTCAGGATTAAATGTAGTCAAAAGTGAATGCTATGGAAGTGGCTGGTACCTAATAAATATCAGTGGAACTTGTCCTGGTGTGATATTCAAAATACTTACCGGTTATGCCTACACCAAGCAATCAGGGTCATCCCAGGGGCCCTTTGCTATGCCAGTTAGCTCTTTAGCTGCCAAATCAAGAGACCGTCTAATAGGGGAGAGGCTGTGATGTCTGGCAGGGTGCATGCTGGGGCTGGGGGGGAGTGTGGGGTTATTTGCCAGTGGTGGGCACTTTAATAACTTGTATGACTGTACTGGTCTCTGCTAGTGGAACATCAGTCTTGAGTTATGTTAGGATGTGCATATACGGTATTCCCTGTGGCTACCTCCTAACTAATAAATCAGAGAAAGGAGAGTGTCCACCCCAAGCCCACTGCTCAGTGGTCACAGGGGTCACAGTGAGGTCATGCAACCTTTGGAGTGGCAGCCATGTTGGACTGGGAAGTGGGCAGAGGCAGGCACTTGATGGGCTGTCCTGGGAGGCCAGACAAGCAGTTCCATTGATTCCCTTGTCCCCTAGAAAGACCCCTCCCCCTCTCTATACCCTGTTACCTCATAGTCTGGGTTGGGAACTGGTGGTGGCCGCTCCTTGTTGGGTCCTGCAGAGGAGGGAGGAGGGAAACAATCACTTCCATGAGAAACACCAATTTCATGGCAACGAGACTCAGCTGCAGGAACCCCTTCATTGTCTCCTCAACTTCTTGATTGCATCTCAGTGATCCTTAATTTTTGTCCTTCCTTCATCCCATCTCTCACGATGCCCATACTGCTTGTTGCTTTTTGACCCTCCTTACACAAGATCCTTCCACTGCCTGCCATGGGGGAAGAGAGAGGAAGAGGCAGGAACTAATTTCTCAAGGTTCCTCTTCCTCACAACTCAGGCATGGAATTTGGTTATTCCAGGACACTGACAGGCATGGGACAAAGCCCTTCCTGTTAGTGAACTTTTTGGTGCTCTCCTAGAGCAAGAAGGGATGAAAGGACCTGACATGTAAAACCCTGTGTGGAGATTTTGACACACAGGACATGTTCTATAGAAGCTGTTTGACCTGACTTGTTGCCCGCGATGGTCCTGACCAGTAACCCCCTTGGTGGGAATCTCACCTACTCTCCATATTTCTTACCCCTGGGTCTGCCGCCAGTACCCGTCACCCTTGTCACAGGCTTGGCTTTGGCCTTCTTGTTCTTGCTCCAGTAATATACCACGAACAGCACACCCAGGGTAATGCAGATGTCCACTATGATGATTGTGGCCACTATCATCGCATCCACCTCCAGACAGTTCTCACACACTGTGGGGTTGGGATGGGGGTGGAAGAAAGGAAAGACACAGGACACTGGAGATGAGGAAGGGCCAACAAAGGGCACCTGAGTGCTCACATGCTTGCCTTGACCAGAGCCCTCCTGTCAACATGTTCACAACAAGCGAAGTGTGGTTGTGATAGAAGCTCTGTGGTCAGTCCTGGGTTCAATCCCAGTTCCCTTATTTACTGAGAATTGCGAATTGTGCCTTCAACTTAACAAGTCTCTGTTTTCTCATTTATAAAATGGGAATAAAAATAGTATTTAACACTGTTGTTGAGAAGTTCACATCAAAAAAATCACTGGCAAGTGCTTGGTCTAGTGTTTGAAACTTAGTAAGCTCTCAGTAAATGTTAGCCACCATTACCTGTATTACACTTGCATTTGAGATGTTTTAATATGGTGGTCTTGATTCTCTTTTGCAAATCCTTCTGAGTATTTATTTTTCTGAATAAAACATCATCAGGGAAAGCCCCATCAGAGTGCCATAATTCTGGACGAGAGATCATGCACACAACCCCATCCTGTCTAATGAAAGTTGTTCAGAGCTAGTGCTGACTGAGGTTATCCACATGCCCATGTTGGTGGCTGATCTGTATTTCAGAAAACACTGATGCTGTGTGGCCCTGAGCAACTGAGGACTGAGTAGAAGGGAAACAAAGATGCCGGGAGACAAAGCTGGATGAAAGAAAATACCTGAGAATGCCTGTTTGAAATGACCCTCCCTCAGGAGTCTAAGAGGGCTTACTCTGGAAAACTGTATTACCTCTTGCCTTCAGGTAGAGAAGAGTTTTGTTTTGATCGCAGGAATAAAAACCACTGTGTTCCACTTCCGAAAATATCTCCTCCACATAGGTTCTCCCCAAACCTGTTAATTTGTTAGCATTGAAGCTCCACTCAGGATTCTGGTTAGGGCATGTCAGCTCTACTCTAGTTCCAGAGATGGAGACTTCATATTCTGGAGAAAGGAAGAAAGAAAAATTACAGGTAGAAACCAGAGGGTATGGAAGATGGAATATGGAGAAGAGGGACTAGAGACTCTTTTGAAGGTAACCTCAGAGTTTAGGCCTGGACACTGGGACATGGGAAGGGGGGAGTGGAGATACAGAAAAACTATGAATGTTTGTAAACCACTGCATCACCAGGAAGGGCCCTTAGAATATTTCTAAAGTGGGGATGGAAATGGAGTGTTGGGAGGCCATCTCTCCCACTCAGTTCCTTCTCTTCTCTGCACTTAGCAGGACTCTTAGACTGGTAAACTTACTTTCTTGTGTAGAGCCCTCTGAATCTGTAAAGGAAAGAATGATAAGAAAATAAGTTTAGATTATGGGTTGCACTAAGCAGGACTCTTAGACTGGTAAACTTACTTTCTTGTGTAGAGCTCTCTGAATCTGTAAAGGAAAGAATGATAAGAAAATAAGTTTAGATTATGGGTAACATTTTCCAAGTAGACTAGACTATCCTCAAGAATTCCCAGAGGGCCCTCCTTTGGGGTGCCCCAAATCTTAAAGGCAAGTGGCATACTTAACCAAGGAGGTGTGCTCTTAGTTATAACTCAGATACATCAAACTGACCATATACCAGCTCCTACGTATAAACCCATGAAAGCTCAGAAAGTTAAAATTCTAAAGCTGAAAAATTCCAGAAGTCGTCATGATTATCTTCTTGCATTAGTAAGAACCACATTTCAGAGAGATAGGAGAGGTTTTTTTTTTTTTTTTAAAAGAGGTAACGACCTTCCTACCTCTCTGAATCATTAATTCTTTTGTTTACCTATCTTTTTCATTATTCAGAAGTTTTTTTTTTAAAGATTTATTTATTTATGCATACAAGAGCTAGGGTGTAGGCCAGAGGTGCAGGGTGGTGGTGGTGGTGGTGAGAGATTCACCAGAGACAGAGTGGGGAGCAGAACAGATGGATCTACTGAAATACACTGTTGAAGGGAGCAGCGGGCAGGACCGGAGAGATCTGTGGGTCAGTTCCCTGGCCAGGGGTTGAACTCATGCTGCAGTGGCTGCTGATAGCTTCATAGTGCTGAGATCCAACACTTTGTGCCACCAGGGAGGCCCAGAATTTCTTTATTATAACTAACACAATCCCTCATAATAGAGACCAAATATCTTTCTTTTTATTTACACAACTTTTCTTTCATTGTCCTTAAATTCCCTAGAACAGGACCCTCTCTAGTGGTGCAAGGGGTCGAAGCGCAGCACCATGAAGCTAGCCAGAGCCGCGTCAGCATGAGTTGTCTCCGGTCAGGGGAGCTGGCCCACATGGCTCAGTAGACCTCTCCTGTCTGGTCTGCTGCTCCTCTCAGCAGTTGATTTCTGTCAATCTGCCTGTTCTGTTTCCCAGTCTGTATTTGGTAAGTCTTTTCACCCTCCATACTTCTGTCCTGAACCCCAGTTCTTATATGCATATATAAACACATCTTTAAAACAAAACAAAACAAAGCAAAAGCCAGATCTGCCACAGGTCTGTGACTAAGGGCAAATCATTTAATATTTCTGTGCTTCAGTTTCATCATCTGGAAAATGGAGCTGGAGCCCCTCAGAGTTTTTGTGAGAATTGAATGGATTAAGGTGAAAATGATGGTACATAACCCAGAAAAAAAAAAACACTAATTCTTTTCCTTTTGTCCTTCTTGGGATTCTACAACACAGGAGAACAGAGCTGAATTCTGATCCAGTGGAGCAGACAACCTCCTGGCTTCGATTCCTGAATGCAAACAACTCATTCCCCAGACAGCCAAGGTACGTGAGATACCTGAGATAGCCAAGGTAGCTTGCTAATGCTGGGAGCTGAGTATAGTGATAATATAATCGATACTATTTTGACTTACAATTTTCCCACACTGATATTTCTTAGAAATATTAAAAATCAATTATAAATCATAAATAAAATAATTTAAAAAGAAAGGTATTTCACTCTGGTACATTTATTAGACAAAGAAAGGTGAAGAACATGTCTCACAACTTTCATTGCGCAAATTCAGCAGCAGAACTCAGATTTACACCTGCCCAGCAAGGGTCTTGATGCTGATGCTTAGGAACAGATAAGCTCCAAGATTTAATAGATGTCTAGAGATAGTACTTCATAATAACTGAGAAAATGGTGGCCTAGGGGTTGGCCTAGGGGTTGGCCTTGGTGGCCTAGGGGTTAAGTCTCATAGCTACCACCACTAAGGCCTGAGGAGCTGGCCCACATGGAGCAGCACACCTCTCCCGCTGCCTCCTGTCAGCAGTGAATTTCAGTAGATCTGCCTGTTCTGCTCCCCACTCTGTCTCTGGTGAGTCCTCTCAATCCCTCCTCACCTGGCCAACACCCCAGTTCTTCTACACAAAAATAAATAAAAAGATAAAGAAAATGGGTGTTATTATCAGCTAAATCTACCTTTGTACTATCTCTGTGCTTGGATTATTTGTTTATTATAAGCTATTTAATTATTTTAAATTAAATGTCATTTGAAAATAAACAGGGCTTCCCTGGAGGTGCAAGAGATGCAAGAGGTTAGGTCTCAGTATTATGATGCTATTGGCATCACTAAAGCACAAGTTTGATTCCCCAGCCAGGCACATGGCACAGCAGACCTCTCCTGATCTGCCCACTGTTTCCCTCAGCAGTGTATTTCAGTGAATCTGCCTGTTTTGCTCCCCATTCTGTCTCTGGTGAGTCCTCTCACCCCCCGCGATCTCTGGCCTATACCCAAGCTCTTGTATGCATAAATAAATAAATCTTAAAAAAATAACCGTTAAATGTCTTTGATTATGATAAGCTCAGGTTTTCTTATCTGTAAAGAGGTTAGAAGAATCAAATGAGGAAAACTAGGTAAAATGTTAGGACTATCCCTAGAATAAACTTTAATGCTTATTATCTAGTCTGCAGGCTTCCAACAGCTAAAATTAACCTGTCACCTTCTGTAGGTCATATAATGTTTGAAAGGAATTACTCATTCAATCCTCATCAAGACCCTGCAAGCTAGGTATCTTGATGATTTCCATTTTCACATGATGATGCTATGGCACAGAGAAGTTAAGTGAATCATTCAGACACCTTGTAAGTAAGGCATTGAACCAGTTGAAACACGGCATCTAGTTTCAGAGTTATACTCCTAACCTCACACAGCAGTCTTATCTCCTCTGCCTAATACACTCTTCTTCCCTGAAATACAAACTCACGTTTTAAAACTTAGCTCAATAATGACTTCCTGTTGGGAGCCTTCCCTAACTATCCTCTGTAGAGTGACTACTCGCTCCTCTATTCTTTCTTTACACTGTATCTATCCATATCATAGAATTTTGAATTTTTTTCGTTCTCCCTCAAAATCATCAGCTTCTTGTTCATCAAAAATATTCATCGAGCACCTACTCTATGCCAGCACTAGGCCAGGTAAGTTAGAGCCTGTCTCTGCCTTCAATGAACTCATGATTTACACAAAAACATTGTGGGCTCCAACCGACATGCACATATGTATATTTCCTTGAACATATGCTTGGGTTACATATCATGGTTAGCAATCATCACTCATGACTCTTAGAAACAAACCTCGCTCTTACAGATCCCACTAGAAGATAATTGTTTTCCCTCTCATAATTCTAGTTTACATATTTATTTTGGGGATTGCCCTCTGTGACCATTTGTTCCACATTGGAAAAGAGGTTGCATAGAATGAAAATCCTCTTACTCTGCTCTCCATCCCTTGAAAGAGAAATGATAAGAAACCATTAGGAATATGCCTGTTATTTACAAAGATCTGAACCTACCCATGGCATTCTCCCCTTAACTTTAGAAAACAATGGATTTTCAAATTCCCTGTGGTTGTATGTGAAAAGCTATTTTGGGTCCTGCTTCCTACAATAAACAGCCCATGACTATTTACAAAAATAGACATTAAGTCCTCATTTTGTAGTACATGCACATATCAAGTTTTTATCTTGTCCACTTCAAACTTATACAATGTTAGGCATCAATTATGTGATAGCTGGGGGAAAATCTTTATTTGGCATAAATTAAAGTGATCAACAAAAATAAACTAAATGCAGTGCCTTCAGAGAAATGTTACTCTAAGGCATATCAGCGCTTTTGACATCTCTTATCTATCAATAATGTAACATTAAATCATACTGTATAACAAAAAGAAAAATAAAGGGTCCTCAGGACACTAACAGGCAGCACAAGAGAATGCAGATCAGCACAGTGGTCGCCTTTAAACTCAAAATCGGTTCTCTCAGTGTGAAGGAGCCAGTTGGACAGAAAATCTTCCCATATCGCCCTACTCCTGACCCTGCTGCTATGAGTGAGAAAACAATTTCAAGCCAGGCATACTCATATGTGTGTGCAATCATGAGCACACATGCACATACACATTCAGAGGGGCCAGACATGTGATTCTGAATGATATTCAACACAGCCTCAGTCTCTTGAGCAAGTGTCCTGCCACACCCTCTACAAAAACTCACATCAAACATGAAATGTAAACAAATGAAAACTGTTGGTGCTTTCAACCTAATTTAGTCGTCTCAGTTTTTTTCTTTTGAGTAGTTGGGATTCATGATTTCCTGTGATCTCTGGTGCTTCCCTCTTGTTGGCTACAACTGACCTTAGACTTGGGAGAAAAACACAAAGGCAAAGATGTAGAAACCTGCTCTACTAGTCTCTGTGGGAGCGCTGCAGAGGTCAGGAGAATGTTCCATTTATAAATACAAGCAATCCTGGGCTGATTTCATAATCAGGAAAGAAAGCGTATCTTACCTTCTTGCCCCCAAACGCCAGCTAGAAAATAAATAATAATAATGATGAGTTAATAAATGTTTTAAGTGCCTATACTTCCAAGCAGAAAAAGTGCTGTGGGCTAGTCTTGCTGTTTACAAACATCTAAAGTCCTTCCCAACTACCCCTGGGTCATGGCCATGCCTACGCCGAGGGGAGCAGCATGTACTGTGGGAACTGACCAGGGCTCCAGGTCAATTTGGGGTAAAACAGAAAAAGTAATCATCTAGTACTATATTTGACTGACAGAAATTAGGGAAACTTGGGGCTGCTTTTTGGGGGACTGGGGACATAGTCAAAGAATTTTGCAGCCAACTCTCCCTTCTGAAACTTAGTCTCTGACTGTTGAAGAAAACAAGCTCTTGGTTAGGTACAAATGTTGACATTCTTGTTTCATGTCCGGCTTCTACTTGTGTGAGGGTTCAGATTTTCCATTTGTTTTCTGCTTGAGACACAGATGGAAATATTTGAAACTCTGCCTACTCATCAAATCTGTGTGTAGAAGAGCTGATCACGTTTCCTTGGGCCCTTTTAGGGTCCCCTCACTCAGCAAGAACTTGGATTCACTACCATGACCAGCTTCCCTGGCACTGCCTAAAAGTTTTCGATAATCCTGGACTTCTCTTTTAACCAGCAGCTTCTACATAGTCTACATTGGATGAGACACCTCCACCCCAACCCATACCCAGAACTGACCAGGAACATTCTTATGAGGCCAGATTTAGAGATGCTTGAACATTTGATATCCTCTGTCTCTGGCAAAGCATAATATCCACTGCCTCCAAGGAAATGTTTGACTCCTCCTTGCAGGAAATGCACCTGCCTTGAGAGTCAAAATATTTCCTTATACCAGCAGCAGACTAATAAACTTTAGCAATGCAGAATCTGAAATTAGAAATTCAGAACTACTGAAGCAGAAGCTGCAGTTTAATAACCTCCCCAGGTGATCTGTGGGCATATTCAAGCTTAGAAACCTAAGACGAAGCAGGAAATTGGGGGTGGGGGGCATCATAGCTGTGACTCTGAGACAGGAGCCTCACTCTCAGGGCATTTTTTAGGGCCCTCCAGAAAGCCATCACAAGCTGTTTTGCTCCATGTAATGAGCCACTAGGAACTCAAACCTGGTAGATACAATCCTGATCTCCCTTATCGGTTTTAGCACTTCCTAATTATGTGCCTTTAAAAAAGATACTTAACTTTTTTGGGTATCTACTTTTTCATCTGTAAAATAGGCCTTATAATATTTACTTTTCAAAGATTAATTTAGTAACACACATAAGGAATTTTTCTTTACATGGTTTGTGGCATTGGATAACTGGCAACCTTAAAAAGATTTCATCACCTATGAGAAAAGGAATTGCTCTCAGTTATTTATCAGTATAATCTGCCTCTCCTCCAAAAGTGCTAAACTCATTAAAAGCTTTGGGATCAACTGAAAAATACTGAAAATGATGAGATGTTTTATTGTCTCCACACTAAACCAATTATAGCCTGGGGCAGGACTTGGGTTCCACTGTCTTGTCTCACAACCAGTAAAGATTGGTGGGTTCTGCCCATCTCTTTTGTGTTTATTCTTAAAGTTCACTAACAGAATGAGCTTGTTCTTAGAGGCAGAGAGGCCTTTTTTCTTTCAGTGGATATGATCATCTCAGGCTTTTTTATGGCCCTTCCCGGAATGGGCTCCTGGGCCCCTCCAGCTCGTAATCTGAAGTTCACATTTCTTACATCATCCAGTAAAAAAGGCTTGTTGGTAACACTGGGCAGCACCAGGGGAGGCCGAGACCTTTCCCATGGTCTGAAGAAACACCACCTTCTGTTTCACCTACCTGCTATGAGGCAGAGTCCCAGAACACTCCAGAGATTTCCCGACCTCATCCTTCTCTCATTAGACACTTATTCTAGCTAAGATGGCGGAGGCCAGTTGGCTTCTTACTTCTGAAAAAGAAAATAGAGGACTTTTTCAAAAATCCTAACTGGAGATGAGGTCCTTGGGACCACTGTTTCCATTGCTATGATGAAAAATGGGCTTTGTGAGAGGAAAACTCACCATTTTCCGAAGCAGGCACCTGAAGCTGGGAGGGTAGGCAGGCGTCTGAACCCTACACAGGAAGTGTGGAGGGGCCTCTGGGACTGCAGGGTTCGACGTCACTTGGAAACGTTCAGAACAGAAACAGCCACCTGGGCGGGCTGGGGAGAGTTGGCGCTGTGGTCTT